TTTCTTTTATTCGATATTTGTCAGTGTCCAAAACTTTCTGTAGAATATGTGAAAAATTCAGTGCATACTCATCCCCAGTGATGAGTATTTTTTTCCTGAAATTATCATTTGTAGTTGCTCTAGATCATCCATGACAATGTTATTTTCAGATGGCTGCATGTTCAATTTAGGTTGGGTTACCACTTCAATCGAATGTCTACTTACTACTTGTTCATATTCGTTTGAGGTTTCTGTTCCCATCTCTGCCATTTCTTCATCATATTCTATTTGTGTAGATGTTCTTTTTTTCTCAATACTGGTTTGAACACCAATTTGCTTCGTAGTTCAGTCAATTCCATTATGTAAAAGACTTATAGATACTTTCACTTGTGTGGACTTATATGTTACAAATTACTTGTGTATTTGATGTTAAACCTCGTTTCACATCGTCATTTGAATTTATATTACCAAGTACTACTCGAAATTATTAAAATTTAAGGATTAATAATCAGAACAATTTTAGTTCTACTTACAATTTTTAAAAATTTTCAAAATTGACCTCAAATAACATTGAAATAATCGATTTATTTCCCTATTGATATTGTTCAAAAAATCTTTGAATACTAGTTTTTTTCGTGACATTTGGAAGTAGAGATTTATAGATTTATAAATCTGATTCAAAGCAAGACATTAAGAACTACAGGAATTACAAAAATACTTTCGGAGCTATTTGTCAAATCATACATCTGCAATCCCTCAAGGATCTCACTTTTGGCCAATTCTCCTCAATTCATTAATCAATGACATTGAATTAATTTTTTACAACACTTTTTTCTTATTATTTGCAGACAATCTGAAGATATTCAAAACAATTTCTAATTTTAAAGATGCCAAAGTTCTCCAGTCAATCATTGATAATTTTTACCGTTCATGTATCGAAAACGATTTTACACTAGATACAAGGGCTCATATCACTCATACATAGATATGTTTGGAATCGCATAACAATATTTTGAAAGTTAATTGTTTGAATTAGAATAGTCTGGAGTTCTAGAACATGATAAATCTGCAAACATTCGTTATGGAATTATATCAGATATCATTCATAGGATTTTTACACAATATACTAAATGGATGGTAAAATTTCACTTACATGGAACAATGTCATCCTCACTGGCAGATATCAATGTTTCGTCTTATGGCTCAAAATTTGTTTTGGTAGGTACTAATTTTCTTTGCCTATATATTTTTGACGACTGTGTACAGGTTTTGAATCGTCACAGGAGGAATAAACTATTCAACTCATATTGTCATATTATTTTGAGAAATGACACTGGATGAACAAATATTTAAAAAAAATGTTCTGGAAATTCGAAAACTGTTGAAGTAATGTTTATGCTACGAACTTAAATAATAGAAAATGATAAAAACATACTTCTGTAGTTAGTTTACTGATGAAAAGTATAACAACTTCAGAGTTTAGGTACAAATTTTCATTTTCAAATTCAGTTTCTTAGGTCATCTACCATTGGAAGTTTTAAAATGTATGTTCCTCCCATGATATCAGAGAAACGCATTGTTTATTTTTACTCCCTCACGTGGATCTTCATATGGCTGCCGAGATTTGAAGATGTCCTGAATTGTTTGAAACATACTTTACAAATGAAGTTTTTCTCATCGCTATGTATTCGCATGTGAATGTTCAAATCTCCTGATCTAGATGAAATTTTTCCACAAATATTGCACATGAATCTGTAAAAGTATGAAGATACATGATGAATATATTTATACTCAATTAATTACTAACTAACTCTTTAACTGAAAAACGGTTATGATTCATTAAATATTTACTAAACATCCATTTGATAGTTGTAAAACATATTTTCAAGAAGGCAATATATATTAACTTTACCACTAAACTAATAATTAAGGAAAAAAATGCATTAACTTTGCAGGTCAAGCTTATTAAATTAATTGTGTTAACATCTTTAATTAAGGCTCTTTCAGAAAATGCGGGTGGACCACCGCTTCTTCAACTAGGTGTGGATCCCTATAGCATTTCACATTTACAAATAGGTACGCAGGCACGGAAATATCTTTCGGATATTATTTTGCTTAGAAACCAACAACAGTTATTCGTTCAACTCTTGCTTTGATGAATACTCAGCAAAATATATACAGTGTGTAAAATCAAATGGAATAAATTCATTATTTCGGTTACTGTACATATTTAAAAAAAATCCCGAAACACGTCAAATGTAAATTATAATTTGACATTCTTCAATGCAAAAATGCCACCCCTACCTGCAACCCCGTTCAAATGGGAAGTATTGGTTTGTGATATATTGTTTGAAAGGTCTCTTCATTCTCTATTCAAAAATGTTATCGCTTTCAAGTTTATTGCAACAATTAAGATAAAATAAATTAAAATCATGTGGTTACCGAAATTTTATAAAAAAACACTCAAAAACTAAAATGTAATGCAAAACGTAATGAAATGTAGAATACGAAAAAGAACTATAGATGTTAACGAAGTAGATATTCAAAATGTTCACAGCGAACGTTTTGACAACATCCTAATCTCAAATAAAACTGTCTTCTAACATTATTTAACACATGAGGCGTGACCAACCTTAAAGCAAGCGTTATTTGTTCTTTCAAGTCATTGAAATCTGAAGACAGATTGAAATCTCTAGACAGGGGAGAATGTTCACCGTAGTTACAACGATGAAAATCTATTGCCAATGTTTCTGTATTCCTTATCCCCATGAAAAGAAATCTAATGATGAAAGATCAGGTGATTGCGCTGGCCATTCAAACGATCCTCGCCTCCCTATCCACCGATTGGGAAATGTTGTATCAAGGTATTGCCAGTAATTTGGTAATGTGTTGGTGCTCCATACTGCTGAAACCATATCGTATTTACTGGAACTTGAGGGTTTCCTGGATCTTGATATACATTTACTAAACTTGGAATGACATCATTTTGAAGTAGTGCCAAATAATTATCGCCATTCAAGTTGTCCTACAATCCCTGCCCAAACATTAACCTTTTGAACGTATTGCGTATGTTCTTCTCTCATCCAGTGAGGATTTTTCGTTGACAAGTAGCGGCAATTTTGTCGACTAGCATGACCGTTAAAAGACAAAGTACACTCGTCAGAAAACATAATTCTACATCCAATCTAATTGGATGATATTATTATCTAACATGTCCATCATTTGTAGGTTTAATTTTATAGGGATGCATTTTATTTTCTTTTAATATGTTTACTATCTTTGTATGGCTAACACTGAACATAGTGGATGCCTATGGGTTTTCCTCAAACTCAAGCATCACACCTAATTTGAGTTCATCACTCATTGTATTGGCAGCTGTTTTCTTTTTATCTGTTCTTGTTCCCTGAGATATGGGCGGTATATTAGGAAACTTCTCATGAAATAGGCGAGCTACTTCCTGTTGTGTTCGGGTTTTATCTACATAACCAATCATTTGTAAAACTGTTGTTTTATGCATTTCCGTTAATATATGTTCTTGGAGGTATTAGAAGTAACAGGATACTTTTAATTGAAAAAAATATTTTTTAAGTAAGATAACAAAATTGTTTGACAAAAAAATCTCAAAATCTAGCTACTTTAAAGTCATCTAGCATTCCAGTAATGAAGTTCCAACCCTTAGTACCGTAATACCGTCGCACTGTATTATTCACGACAATATCCAATCCAATTGACTATAGTTTCAGCTGCTGGAAATTTTCTATATTTATGGTTATTTTCTTCTGTCATTTTTATTTTTAGGCTAGGTGTCATTTTTGTGGTTAAATGCCACTTAATTATTTCAACATTTGTTGTTGCAATTCAATTAAGCATATTTCAAATTTTCGAAACTTCATGGTATGTAATAATTTAAAAAAATCCCAGCCAAGCATTAAAATATAGTTCTCATATTGATTTATTTCTATTGTATTGACACTTTTTTTTAAATTTCAAGTTTACCCGCATCAACCATATGGGTTATTAGCGGGGTTCGATACATTTTATGTCACATAATATATTTACACACTATCAATGTTCTGAGGGGTGAGGATTGGTCGTAGGTCACCGGGTACGCCGTCTCTATCGTTGGTAAGATTTTTTTTTATTAGATTTTTTATTGGTCAAGTTATTACACCTTAGTGCTATGACAAGTCAATAATGTATAAAATAAATGTAAATTACAATTAAAATTACCGAAAAGGAGTAGGTAGTACATACAAATTGTATATGATACAAGCAGAAAATAAAATTAATAAATATATAAATGTAAAAATAAATATACATAGAGACAGTACCTACATTGACGATAGTCACTCTGTAAAGCTGAAGTCAGACGCATCATAGTGAGCATTCTCTGAGAGATGTTTTTTCAGTTTCCGTTTGAAATTAGTGAGGGTTGCATTTTTCATTGATTGGGGCAGTGAGTTGTACAATGATATGTATAAGTTACATCTCCTTGTTATTTCTAGTCTTTGGTTTGGTGCTCTAATATTATCCTTGTTCCTAGTATTATAAGAATGGCTGTTACCGTTTGTAGTGAACTTTTGTGAATTTTCTTGAATGTGTATCAAATTGGAGTGTATGTAATTTAAGTATAAGATGGACAATCCAGAAGAATGTGGTTTACATTAAGGTTTGTTTGGCAGGTTTCACATTTTCTGGCCACATCTCGTTGAAGGACGTGTTGATGTGTTAGCTTGGTATGGCCAGTGCGGAGCCTGGTGAGAATCACTTGGTACTGACACTTATTTAAATAAATGCGAGCGAAGCCGCATTTACGTTGTAGGAATAAACCACCACCTATATATGAAGCTGATACACTTGCAGAATAATATGGGCATCAAGTGCTTGTCTTCCACCGTATCACTGCATGTTTAATACCATCGAACATATTTGGGGATAACCAAAAATTTTTTAAAGGGATACTATGGAAAGAGATGGCATTTCAGCTGAAAAATCCCAGGCTATATGTAAAGAAGCTTTAGACAAAGCTACACCTGATGTATGGGCTGAAACTATTCGTCATACCAAACAAAACATAAAATTGTATTGGGATATAGAAGTTGGGTTTGACAGGGAAGATGATAAATTTCGATTCCGATGATGATTTTTTTTTTGAGGTAAAACCCTGATGATGCCATATGGCAGGCATCATTGGGCATAATGCATGTATGTGAATTTGAATTATTACATAAATGAAATTGAAAAACAAGTTCAGTTTTTCATTTATTATTTATGAATTATCAATTTAGGAAATATATAAAACTTTCAACTTATTTGAAGTGATATTCCTTGAAACAGGTTTCATCTTTTGTAAGGCATAATACCATTCCACATTTTTCGCACTTCACTCTTGAAAATGCCCTGATACAAAGCCTGCACCTTTGCTTCGGTTCAATATGTATTGTCCAATTCGATCATATCGAACTTCATCTATCGGGGCAATAACTTTGACACTTTTTGTAGGAGGGAGTGTTGCTCTTGGTGAAGAAGATGATGATGATGGTCTTCCTCGTTTTCGATTGATTTCTTTACCTGTCTTCAAGAATCAATGTGCAATGTTGGATCTGAATGCAATCAGTGGTTCATATTTTTCATTTTTTTGGTTCTTGTGACGGCGATACAGTAGCCAAGCATTCACCACACACATGTCAATGATGTTGAAGAAGATTCGTAAAAAGAATCTCTTGACTGAAAAATTTATTCTGTAAAGAGCTACCAACATATTATGTAAGTCAACTCCTCCCATGAATAAGTTGTAATGTTTCACAATTTCAGGGCGTTGGACTTCAATGTGTCGTTTTTCGGCAACACTCCACCGTTGTACGGCACCAACGGGATGAACTCCTTTGTAAGATGAAATGAGATGGACAAATTTATTATCGAACCATTTCACCGCAACCATGTTTCTCCCATCTTCATAGCAGAAATCAAAATAACCTCTTCCTTTCCTATTTCAGTGTTTTGCCTACCTTCAGTTGGCAGTTAGGCAACCTGTTACTCCTAACAGTTCCAACAGCAAGTATTCCCCATTCTTTCAGCTTGGGAAATGGTTCTGGGGATGAAAACCAATTGTCACAATATATTTTGTGATTTCTTGCTTTGGGTAAACTATCACACAATCTCATGACAACTTGTCTTATTCTGTATCCTCTTGTGACTTCATCTTAGAGTTATCATTCAGATGTAAGAAATTTCGGAGTGTATCGAACCTATTTCGGGACATTATGTCAGCAATTGGACCATATCGACTGGCTTCTGCCCAATACATTCGGTAGCTGGGCATTTTTACAATTCCACTCAGGATATGCATCCCCAAAAATTTCTCAATCTCCTCAGAATTTGAGTTTATTGAGGAGCCCGTTTTTTCGACTGAATATAAGTTTGTCTGGTGCAATATGACTGATCAAATCGTCTGTGAAGAAATATTTGAAGTAAGAAAATGGTGTCATTTCTGGATCAGGTGGTTCAGAAAATGTGAGGCTGCACTCCGAAGTTACTTCATCTGATATATTCCTTTTTTTTTCTTTTTTTGTTTGTTGATTACCTCACTACGATTTTTCTGGAAATGTGCCAATGGTAAATCGTCTTCGGATTCAGAGTCTTTCTCATCTACTTCATATGCAATCCCAATATTTGTCGAGGTGATGGGAGGATCAGTATGATGATCTACAAGCGGACCCGGCGGATCGGTAACCCTATAATTATTTTCATCGTCAGATTCTTCCATATCAATATCAGAAATATCACCTTCTAAAAGAAGAAGTAACTGACGTTCCTCCTCAATAGTCAGTTCGGTCCTTGTCATTTTTCACACCTATCAAAAATTCAATGGTATAAGAAATTTTTTTTCCATCTTCATCTGGAATGTCATGCAAATAGAAAGGTAAAGATGACTAATGTCAAAATATATTTTTCGTCATTTTTCATTGTTGCATCATCCTGTTAATGAAAATAAGCAAATTCCACTGTAAACTTGAATTCGCTCATCTGTGTTGACCTCTAAACTAGTGAGTTATGAATATGGTTAACCTGATTGGTTCGAGGTGAAAGATATGCATTTCACCCAACTGTACCGATATAATTATTGAAAAATACAGTTGAAGTACGAGCTTATCTACGTTGAATAACGTAATTATGGTACCCTCTATTTCATATTATAAGCAATTAGCGTATACACTGCAGCGGAGGCTACTTTTTCGGAGCAGAGTATGTATTTTCGTAATCGGTGTTAACATTTTCGTGACTATTTAATTTCTGAGTGATGGGAGAATTCAAACCCAGTCATTAATGATGAATCAGGACCTTCGACTGTATCTTCGAAAGCCCAGCTTAATATTAAATGCCATTACCTTTTTTCCCCAGTGTGTACCAACATGTGGGCTTTCCTATCCGAACTTGTTTTGAATGCTTTTGAGCAAACGTTACAAGTATAGGGTCTATCTCCTGTATGTGATCGATTATGCCGGACCAGATTTGACAGATATCTGAACGTTTTCCCACAATGCTGACATACAAAAGTCTTTTCATTGGAATGTATCTTGATATGGTTTTTGAGAGTAAAAGAACATGAAAAGTTTTTGCTGCATATCTTGCACCAATAAGAACTTTCACCTAAAAAATATTACTTTTAATGTTTTTTGTGAAACTTTTAGCAGTATTTCTAAAAAAAGTTTAATGAGTTTGGAACATTGATAAAAGTAGAATTGCAACAGTTCATTAAGAGGAACAAAAGGAAGAGAATCTCAAAAACATGGTCACTTAAAAGAATTGAATAAAAACAGTTTTGTCTAAATACAACTGGTTTCGAACGAACAGTTTTATACTTGATAATCTGGTCAAACCCGAAACCAGTCATATAAATAAAATCTACCAGTGGTATTTAGACAGAAGTGTTTTTATGCATTTCATTTAAGTGATCATGAATTATCATAAAGTAAACGAGTCATCAATCACACATATCCAAAACATGGTATTTGAAAGTTATTATAAAAATAGACAAAAAATCAGATCCAAAATATCCAGAACACATTCTTTAATGACGGTAGGTAGGTAGATCTAAAATGAGTGGGTTTATTCGACTCTCCACAGTAGCCCTCGAGAGTTTATTACGTCTCACACCTATTCGAACTCCACCACATAAATCCGGCTACTTATTTGAACGTTCAGGTCAGTGGCAATAGTAAGACTCTGCCAAACGCTGAAAATCTGATCCTGTAGCGGTTCGCGGCGTGGCAGGCACATAGTACGTGCTTTGCAGGGGTATTCTAACACCACCCGCTGCAGAGCACTTCCAAATAAGGATCCTCTCCTACTCCCAAAAAAAGTTCCAAATAAGGAATATATTGAAAATAAACAACACTCATAGATGAAATATAAATTAATCTTAATGCATTTCAGCAAATATACTTAATTTCTTATATTTGGGAAGGTATTTACACAATGGTGGTCTACATACCCTTTTAATATTGGTGCAGATTTTTTATATTAATTTTTTCTCATAATCGTGTAAGTTCTAAAAAAAACAAAAAGCAGCACAAAAATTATGCACCGTTTAAATACATGACAGCATTTAGAAAAAAAACTAAATGTTACATACCTGTGTGTACTTTGAGGTGTTTTTGAAGACTTCCTGGATAAGAAAATGATTTTGAGCAAATTGAACAGGTAATTGGTTTTTCTCCTTTATGAATTCTCTCGTGAATTTTTAAGTATTTTGGAATATAAAACTTTTTTCCACATAAAGAACACTCATACTTTTTTATTCTCCTTAAAAAAAATGCATATTTCAGAATAACAAAGGAACCAAGTCAATTTGACAAATGAAACATTTTATTACTAGTTGTTAACGTCGACCTAGAAATTTCCAAACTACACATAAAAAATCAAATTTATTCATAACATCAACATTATCAAAAGCGAAATCAATATGTAGTGATGAAAAATTGTTTTGAAACAGTATAAACTTCTGGTGTCACCACAAACCACTTACTCTAGGGTGTCACACAAGTTTTGGTTTAAGCCCCAATTTTCTATTTTCAGAAAAAGATAAGAATTCATTAAAAATGAATATAAATAATGACATGAAAAAAATTGAGAAATGGTTAAATTACCTCAATTTAACAATCAACCAAGAAAAAACAGTTTTCATGATTTTTAAGCAAAAAAATATGAACAATATAAAACTTATGACTTTGAAAAAGCTAAATTCGTAAACGAATTGTCTGAAAATCTCCTTAAAAATAATATTCAATTATTAAAAAATCTAAATTGCGTGATCATAATACAAAAGTTTCAATAATTTTCATCTTGATGTAATATATACTACCAAAGGAAAGAATAATACTATTTCAATTTATTTAGATGTTTTTAATAAATTGCATGAGAAAATGGAAAATCTAAAACAGTTAATTTATTTTCCAAAATCATCAAAGAAATGATGATTGTCATATTATGATTATTTGATTGCTTATATTCTCTTATTATCAAAAAGCTGTTATTATTGTTTAATCAAACATTTTTGATAACTTCCTCATACCAGCATAATTTCTGTCTGGAAATCAAAATCTGTAGTTTTTCAACAAGTGTTCCAGAAATAACGTTATACCTAAGTTCATAAAAACTAAGACAGACAACAAAAGTTTTCCAGCAAGAACAGGCATCCAACAAGGACACAAGAAATGACTCCAGGAAAAGAAAATCCAGTACAACAAAAGAGGCATCTTTAACGTCTTCCTCACGGTAATACATACAGAACTAAGCCACAGATTGCATTTCATTGAATTTCATATTTTTGACACCAACATCAAGGAAGAACTTAAAATCGTCAATCATAAGAAATGTATTACTCAGAAACACAAAGTTAAACCATTAAATTTCAGACTACCAGTTTTATGATAGATTTGTTAACTTAACCGATACGCAAATCCAATTAGAAAATAAAGGATTCAAACATAACATGAAAACATTATAGTCAACTAAGAACCTATATATCTTAGGTATCGAAACACAAATTACACTCAAATCTATAACCTTAAATATTAACTTGAAACTTAGAGCAGCAGACATCATTGAAAATTGTATTTCTATTTTAGACTACAATTCCGAACAGAGAACACTGAAATCGATAAAACAAACAATCAATAGCAACAACATCACATTCACTTTATCTAAAGAGAACACAGTTATTGCTATCTCCCCAAAGACATTTATATACACAACACAATCGGTTATTGTTCCATAAAAAACCAACCAAAAAATTTCAAACCACAGTTAAAAGTGCCACCCAACAAGCTACTTCACTTATCAAACTTGAAGACAGATACAAAAGCATCATGTCAAATCCTCAAACTCCACAACTATTTTCATTCATTAAACTTCATGAACAACATCCTCCTGTTAGAACAGAGGTGTCGTTTCTAACAGCACCAACATATAAAATTTCCAAATTCCATCGTCACTCAGTATCAAAAACTACAACCAAGTAATAAAAAACATCTATAACATTAATCTGTCACCTAATTCTGAATTAGTTTCTCTCAATTATTCTCAAGTATTCCTCCAGAATATTCATACAAACTTTAGGTGAAATGCTTCTCAAAAATCATACAAATCCATGAACTCTCGGATATCCTCTCACGATTGTCATTATGTCGCAACCAAAATTATTTTGAATTTAATACTACATACAGGGTGACAATTTGAAAACTTGCAATGGTTATATCTGAGCAACCAAATAAAATATAAGAAATCGCTGAAAATAACTTCCATAATAGGGAGCCACCCCAACTTTATATTCTTAAACGACAACCCCGTACTTGTGATACCTTATGTAAAAGCTCTTGAGAAATGCCCTTCAATTGTACCCCACAAAGTAACATTCGATGTAGTAAGTTGTAAATTACGTGTAGATTCGCCAATTAGTGGAAAAATTGAAAAAAACTGGTACAGTCACGAATAAAAAAAGGATTGCAACGCAAATTGAAGTTCTCTGACAGTTTGTAGTGAATCCTACTTTATCGACTCGTCAGGTAGCTACAGCAACCGGACTATCCCACGAATCTGTAAGGAAAGTACCTAAATTATATGAATTTCATCCATACAAAATGCAAATCCTTCAAGAACTTGGTGATGATGACCCCGACAGAATATTTAAATTTTGTGAAATTATGACAGCTAGAATTATCGCAGAACTTCGACTCATCAAAAATATTTGCTTTAGTGACGAGTGCACTTTTTATTTGATTGGGCATGCAAATAAATAAAACTGTCATTACTGGAATGACGAGGACCCACGTTTATTTAGAGAAGGGCATAAACAATACCCTGAAAAAGTTAATGTTTGGGCTGGTATATTGGGAGTTGCAGCTACAGGTACATTATTTATAGAAAGAAATTCGAGTGGCAAAATGAATGCTCACATGCTAGAAAGATCTATCGAACCTTGGATAGTTCATGAGTTAGAGAATTAGAAAGACATACACGGCACCTTCATCTTTAGAAGAAAATGTATTACATTTTCAACAGGATGGGGCACCTTCTCATTATGTAGTTCCAGTTGGACAATGGTTAGGTTACGTTGAATGGCCTCCTAGATACCCGGATTCATCTCTTGATTTCTTTCTCTGGGGCTATCTAAAATCGGTTGAAAGACATGGAAATCATTTTGAACATTTCTTAAACTAATAATAGAAAATAAAATTTCAATTTGAATAAATAGTGCTTTATTTGATAAAGCAAAAACTACTACATCGAATGTACCTTTGTAGATAACCATTGAAGAGCATTTCTTAGGGGCTTTTGGATAAGGTATCATAAGTAGGAGGTTGCCATTCAAAACTTTAAAGTTAGGGTGGCTGGGGACGAGGGGGTAAGTGAAAACAAAATTCCTGTTACATTATTTTGTTTCCCCCTCTCTATTATGGAAGTTGTTTTTAGTGATTTCTTATATTTTATTCGGTTGGTAAGTTTGGTTGTTCAGGTTGTAAGTTTTCAAATTGTCACCCCTGTATAACAACAAAAAAGGCCTCATAATGGGCAATCCTCTAAGCCCCCTCCNAAAAAAGGCCTCATAATGGGTAATCTTCGAAAAAACTATACAAAGACATGCAATTTTCCAAAAATGTATTTAATGGTATAAGTATGTTGACAATGTGATAGCTTGTTTCACAGGAAGACATAGACAATTAGTTATTTTTCGCACACAAAAACTTTAATAATAATGGGGATATTAAAATCACAATAGATCTAAAGACTAATAATTCGACAAACTTTTTAGACCTCACGATTACAAAAATTAATAACAAACACAATTTACCATAAACCAATCCATACACATAACTTTGAACATCTATTCCCACAGCAACATAAATTAGCAGCTTACCACAGTATAATCCAAAGACCCGAAAACGAATTTCTCTCTTCGAACAAAGCCATTGTATGGCAAAACACGTGTTGCATTTTTGTAAAGCTGTTTAGTGATCTCACAAAAAAGTGTTTTTTCAATACGTTAGTTATATATTTTCATCAAGTATCAGTCGATTCCATTATGTAAAAGACTTATAGATACTTTCACTTGTGTGAACTTATATGTTACAAATTACTTGTGTATTTGATGTTAAACCTCGTTTCACGTCTTCATTTTAAAAACTATGCTGTGAAGGTGGCTATACATACAACTTTCAAATTTATTGTGGCACTGATAAAGCTCAAGGAGGATAAACATCTTCAAATGTTGTGTTTTCTCTCATGCAAAACTTGCTAGATTCAGGTCGCCAATTATTTATTGACAATTAGTTTACTAGTGTCTCATTAGCTACCAAACTCCTGAATAGACAAACGTATTTGGTTGGCACTTTGCGTAATAACAGAAAATACAATCCGAAAGAAGTTGTGCAGAAGAAGCTCAAGCCCAAAGAAATTTTTGCAAAAGAAAGTGGGACAGGAATTATGGTTTGTAAGTGGCGTGATAAAAGGGATGTACTTGTTCTGAGCACACTCCTTAAAATATAAAGACAATTCAACAAGAGGTGGTAACATTGAAAAACCTGAGGTGATTTTAGATTAAAATAAAGCAAAATCGTATGTTGATTTGGCAGATCAGATCAAAGCTTACTCGCATTGTGTACGTCGAGGTACTAAGTGGTACAGAAAACTTGCAATTGGGATATTATTAGGCTCCGCCATTGTCAATGCCCACTTAGCTTTCAAGGAGGTTACACAAGACAAAATCTCCATTACTGAGTTTAGAGAAAAATTATGCCTATCTTTGTTACGAATTTCTGAAACAACAGAAATGTTGAAGATGAATCAAGAACGCCAGAAAGTGGACATTTTTTGGAGCAGTCTTCCCGTTTGCGCTGTATTGTGTGTTACCGTGATATGAAAGCTGAGTAAGAAGGAAAAGAAACATTGAATAAGGCCTCAGTACGAAATATCGATGTGTTGGCTGCAACAAATGTTACTGTGTAACATGTTTTTTTGTTGACCATCATTTTATGCAAACTTAAAAAACGGAATACTTTCATTTATATTATTTGTAACTCATATTTGTGATTCATGACTTGTTTACTTCATGGTAATTCTTGATCACTTAAATGAAATGAAAGAAAACACTTTTGTCTAAATATTTGTGATTCATTCCTAATAAATGTTATCTCTTGAGTAGTTCTTAGTTTTAGGTCAAATTCTAAAACCACACAAAAAAAGAGACATACACGCTGTGTCGCACAATCGCTGAAAATCCAACAAATCTCATGGATCAAAAGTATTTGTTGTCTCTCTGGGCCACGCTCTTTCATTCCCCATAAAGAAACCGGTATAGCGTGACTAACTGCTGTGCTATGATGCCAAATTGAACTGATTGCAATGAGCCACAACATATGTGTTACGAAGCCTAGGGATCAAAATGAGGTGCGGCATGTGCATTATATCTCATGGCGCTTAGCGTGTTAAAAACCATCAGACATATTAGATACATATTAAAAGTTTTTCGGACTTCAAATCATCTTCTGAAACAACTTTTCTGAATGGACAGATTCATTTAACATTCAACAGACCTGAATGATAACTGAAAGTATCGAAAAATGTATATTTATCCCTACCACTAATTAGATTTGCACTAATGTTTGTACTGGACTGATCATCAACAGACTTTTTAGGAGTTTTTCTCAGTAGCCTGTCATTGTTTTCACATAATTCTCTGAAAGATATTGTATCCTCCATTTTTTTCAAACAATCATCACAAATGTGATCTGGGAGTCCATCTCCAATTTCCAACTGAAAATATGATTATTGATTTAAAAAAATTATGGAATGGAAATGTTTCTGTTATGAATCAATAACGGAAAAAATATTTAAAATTTTTTCACTTTTTGATATGCTTTCACTATGTTTCAGAAAGTATCATCAGGTGTATGATGTAAAAGGGTAATTAATGTACACTTACCTCTATTGAGGCACATTGTTTCAACTTATATACGATCGGAGGATCGAAATCAAAAATACATTTTGTGCCTTTTCCAAGACATAACCTACATATTTTGGAGGATTCGACCAAAAATTCCATAATAAAATTTTAATGCATCACTAGTATAAACGATAATTGTGAAGTTGTTTGGTAATGCTTATTTTTCAAACAATAGGAAAAAAGATATTTACAAAAAATTGAATTGACACTATATTAACCTCACTCTGATATTAACATTTTGGTACCCGCCATTGTTGCCAATGATGAATAGTTAAATTTCCTACAAGTACGTTTGAAATTACCCGGTTTTTGCAATGACTCAACGTTTTCAAAAAGTCGACTATTTCAGAAATATATGTTGAAAGCAGGGAATTTGTTATTTGAAAAGTCAATCTCCTCTTAGACTGATACGAAATGTTCAATACCTACGCTTTTACTAAAGAATACAGAGCCCATAGTACTTACCATGACCACCACAGGGCAATGACACTACGATGTCAGTTGATACTGGCCGTGGTCTGAATCACGTTCACAGCGCTTATGATAGCGTAACAACGCTCGGTCCGATTCGTGCTTTTCACGCTCACCGTTAGCGTTGTGAACGCTATGACGTCACATGTGACGTCACACCGTAGTGCTCACAGTACTCGCGGATAAGATCGTTAGCACTGTGAACATTGACGTTATTTTGCGCCATTTATTTGAACTATCGAGTGAGTTATTTCTGTGAATTCAAGCGTACGAAATAAAATTTATTAAAATCTCAGTGAATTTTTCCGTGTCAATTGAAGAAACTGGGAATTGTTTCTTCGACGTACCGTTGAATACGAAGTCCAATAAGCTCCAATTTTCCTCGCTTTTTGTTCAACACGAGCATTGTGTTAACCAGTTCATCTTCGGAGCTACTCGATGATGACGAAATATCTAATATATCTTCCACATCAATATCAGTCTCGTCACTTTCCCCGATTGCAGAAAATGCTAGCATTTTCCGATCTTTATCAGCTACACCACATACTCCATTCATATTTGTTTCAAAAAATGCCTTGTTAGGTTATGTTTAACTTATGGAATTCGTAAGCACAAGCGGTCCGAATTATTAACACTGCAAACATATGTTGGCGCGCTCACGTAAATCGGAACTGACGTTAGCAGTTCAAACGTCGTAAGTGCTGCGAGCACAATTCGGACCACGACCACTTACATTAAATACTAACATCGTGCTAAGTACTAAAAGTGTTACGTGATACGTAAATTCCACTTCTGAGCTGACGATTACCCGTTAGTTAGGGAAGCTATAGACTATGCTGTAGACGACCCCTCACGTTTTAAAAGGCCCCGACTCCCCGAATGAGGCCCTCATGTCCCCCGTTAACAGATGAACAATTTTTCATCCATCTCACCCCAGCCGGGTAGGGGTACGTTGTGAAACGCGGTACTGATGTCTGAGGACTTTCATACCGCCACCACCATTCAGTCATGACCCTTTGTTCTTTCGACAATCGCTGGGGTAGATTTGAAAACGTCGAAGGAAATTTCAGCGAAACCGTCTTCTTAGCCTATCTAGAAGAGAAATAAAAAATATGAAACTTGTCAACTTTGTGGAGAAAGTTTTTAATGATAAAGTCGAGTGCCCTCGTTGAAAATGGTGTTGATACAAGCAAATATTTCAAGTTAATAGCATTCTTAAACCTCCCGGAACCGAAGGAATCTACAGGATACAGGTCACTGTTTCGGAAGGACTTTTACTTCTTTGCTAGCAGAATCAGGAGCAAATATAATGGATATTAAGAAGCATGGAGGATGGAAGTCTACAACAGTAGCTGAGGGTTACATCGATGAATCTATTTCTTATAAAAAGTCTATTGCCGAAAGAATAATCCCAACAGCTAGCTCCAGCGTTACAGCATCTTCCTCTTCACTTCAAGAATTAAATGTTAATGCCCATGAAATTGTCAACTCAGATAGTTCAAATATATTACAAGGCTCTTCAATATCGCAAGGTATTAATATCAGCAGTTGTTCTAATTGTACTTTTCATAATAATGTTCATAAATAATAATAATGTTATTAATGTATATAATACATTTGTAACAGAATTTAATTGTATGGTACATTCAAGTGTTTTCATTACCAGTGCGTGGAATATACTCATAAGAAATATATTGTATTCTGTCCATAAGACCTAATACATGAATATTTCGCTGATAGGCGGCCTTAGTGCATCTTTTGTTTAAGAGCAGCAATAAATCATAAATAAACTGTCAAAATAGCTTGATCATTATTGTTGTGAGCTCATTGTTGAGAGTTAATTATTAATATTTTTTTCCAAGTCAAGAAACACACTAATACAAAAATCAAATGCTGCAGGTGTAAGTTTTGGAATGGTCACAGGTTCCAATATTACTATTAATAATCATTATTATTCCACATCAGAATGAAAACCAAAAATAATAATCTCAGTATAAGAATTAATTGTTAATTTTATAATATAGGTACTTACTAATTATTCTGAAATTTAATAAAGCTCTTTAAACTAATGGTGCTTAATTTTCTCTGTATGGTCGTAGAAAAAGTATAGTGTGCAACATGTGCGTGAAGACTTTTTTACACTCGCGTTGTTTGCGACACGAGCCCTCACGCTTGTGTAAAAAAGTCGATTTCACGCACTTGTTATACAATATACTATTTGTTTATTGCTATTTGGTCGAAAAAAATCGTGTTAAAAATACTTTCAACACTAATGTTAAAACATTACTTTGCAAACTTCATCTTTCAATACTCTTGACAACCATTAGAAATGTCACTTTTAATGACAGCTGTACAAAAACCATTTCATTGTGAGATTTTCACTAAACAGTTTTACAAAAACGCAACACGTGTTTAGCTATACAATGGCTTTCTCAGGCGTGTCTTTACTAACCATACGAGTATTCTAATTATTCAATGCTTAATATACATAATTTTACAATTTGAAGTACCTAAATTTCAAGTACCTGACTTAATAATAAATTAAATTACCTGAACTTATGTTCCAATTTCCACATTTGAAAAACTATTTAGTAACAGGGAGTGTTGGGTCCCCATTTTGGTTTTTGGGCTTGCTTGCTGGTTCCTTTCTAGTGGACTGAATACTATTAAATAATGCGACGTAGGTAATTAGGTAACACACTTTATTCTGTCACACCTAGTTAACAGATTTCACAGAATGTCGAATACGACAATTGGTTTGATCTGTTTAATTTGATGTGAGAAACACTAAGCTTATACAAATGAGAACCTTTATATTCTCCACAATAAACTAACACTTTGTACTTAACTACAAATAGGTATATCTAATATACCTTTATTCTGTTATGCTAAAACCATACTGTACTGAATGAGATTACTCTCAAGCGAGATGTAAAGAAAACAGGACACAGGCTATTGGTTCCCTAAGGTAGGTAGATATCCCTTGACAACTAGACAATTACACAGTGGCGTAACAGTGTTTAAGGCAACTTATTTTGAATTTTATTTATATTCCCAACAGGGAGTTATTCAATTCTAATTGATTATTCAGTGAATTACCCGAATTATTGAATCTATTGATTTCTGAACATTCTAGAAGATTGAGTTTCAAATGTTTTCTTCCAAATGTAACACGTCGTATTCATGAATGAACTCATATCTTTCTGCCAAAAGATGATTTGCAAATGTGAAATTGGTATTTCTATTCACAAAAGTACTTCTATGCTCTTTCATTCTTTGGGCAAATGTGCTTCCTGTTTGGCCAAATATATAGTTTTTGGTAAGAGCCACAAGTCAGGTTCCTTTGGAAGATTCCCACATTGTTTTTGTATAAAGATGGAGACGTAGAAAGCCAAAAACTTTCCCATGTAGGTATATTTGNTAATTCAAACGAATAGCAGCGGTTCTCAAACTTTTTTGTGACGGGACCCTACAATAAAACAATAGTTTTTGAACATGCATTCTTCATTAATAAGCAAAATAAAAGTACAATGCTACAGTTACTTATTACTTACTTACATTACAAGTATAATAATAGAAGATAATAAAAAATAAGAAAAAATCCAACTAATGGGAGGTATGAAACTGTTTTTATTTTTCATCACTTGGTTGATATAAGATTTGATACAAGATAGTTGAAGTTTCATATCAGGTTCGATGTTCAGTCTATTTCCGCATAAATTTGTTGTCGAGAAGGGAAGAAGAATATTCAGAGCCATTTTGGCAAGCTTTGGATATTCATCATGGATTCTGCTCCAAAAATCGTTGGGAGGCGTCATTTTAAACAGCAACTCCATACTTGTGTCTGATGAAATTTCTTAAAAAGATTCATATATCTTGTTTGACATACTTTCGGGCTTTTGCGCGCATCGAAGTGAAATATTTGACCAATTCTTCAAGTACATCATCTTGAAATATTTCTGAGTCGTTATCGCTCACAAACTCACTGAGTGACATGAGCTTCCTATTTCTTTCTTACCAATGCAAATAATCAGAAAATCAATTTNTCCTATTTCTTTCTTACCAACGCAAATAATCAGAAAATCAATTTTTTTTAACACAGTCATTTTGTTACAGGCCCGAACACTGTTGTCTGTTTACTTTGCGATGATAAATTTAATTCGTTCAGTTTTTTGAAGATATCTGCCATAAAGGACAGTCGGAACAACTAAGTTTAATCATACAAATGGTATTTCAAATTGAAAGAAGTATCTGAAACAAATATTTGTAATTCGGCTTTATGTTCAAATAGCCTTGTTAAAGTTTTACCCTTAGACAGCCATCGTACTTCTGTATGGAGCAGCAGTGTTTTATGTTTGCTGTCATAATCTTCACATAATAATGAGAACAATCGGGATTTTAGTGGTCGTGATTTAATAAAATGAATTATTTTTATCGCTTGATCTATAACTAATTTTAGATTTGACGACGCTTGCTTCATCGCAAATGCTTCTTTATGCAGGATTCAATGGCTGGAACTACAATAAGGCGCTTTATTTCTTATTCATGACACTACTCCTGCTGTTTCACCCGTCATCGCCTTTATTATTTCAAATCTAAATTCTAGTTTCTTTATCCAATTCTGAAGAGTTTTGTCACAGCAGCTCACGTTATGCCCGGAAGTATTCAATTTCTTCCTTATGATTTCAGTTGTAGGAATCTCGTTGCTTTTGTAACAGTCGTATATTGACTTTTTCAATGATTTTATTAAATGAACATCTAAAAATCTAAAGGTTTTGGT